TCGGTGCGCACAGCCCTTTGGAGACCATGAGTGGTCTTCGAACTTAGCAAACGCTGCCAGCCTTTCCAACTCTCCAGCTCTCCGGCACGGGTACCACCTGAGAGCAGAGCCGAGCCAGGGGAACAAACCGCTGTTCTCTGGCAGGCAGGTCAAGCTACACCACCCACCCCAGGACCAGAGGCAGTCTGGCTCACCTGCTCAGCAGCCGGCTCCCCGGGGAGTGCACATTCTTATTTACACCACCACCACCCCCCACTTTTTTTTTTTTTTAACACAGGCACTTTTCCTATTACAAGTTCTGAACTCAGGGATAGCTCTTACTTGCTCTTTACTGTTAGATCAATTTGCCTTCACTTTGCGATGATTGAAGCAACTGCTAGCACAAATACCCAACCCACGGACTAATAGGCTTCGGGTAGGACAGAGTAGGACCGCCCCACAGGGCTTCCAAGACCCTGTGGACATCTGCACAGTCCCCAAGAAGGGCTGGGGGTTCCAACCTCGGGGGTTTGGTGGGCAGCCCAGCTCTGAACCAAGGCATTACCCGGGCTCCTTAATTCCGCCTCGAAACAAATTTCTGTATTCTGTTTACCTTCGCCGGCTCCAGGTGCACCGGTTAAATGACTGGACAAGGCGTTGATCCTTTTCTTGCACTGAAGTGAGGTTCAAGGACCCTGTGCACCTGTTCCACTCACCTACACATCCGACTTCCTGACTTAGAGACACGGATCAGCTGCAGAAGCGGGGGATTGCCTTGTACGCGGGTTGGGAGCGGTTTATTGGTCAGTAAGAAGGACAAGCTGGTGATGGGAGCGGCCTCCAGGCCCAGGTGTCCTAGCGTTGTTCCCAGGGCGCTGGAGCGTCAAGGTGGGTGCGTGTGTGGGAGAGGCAGGTCACCCCACAGAGTGCCAGCCGGGTCCCCGTGGAAAGACCTAGACCTTCCTCCCGGGAACTGTGGGCCCCGCCCGGGCATCTCCTGGGGATCAACATTGGGAGCCCCAGGAACCCTCCGCTCCTTCAATCCTGCGCCGCCTCCCCCACCCCCCGCAGACCCCCAGGGGCGCCCCGGGG